ATAGAGAAATAATTTAAACAGGCGGAGGAAATATTATGTGTTGTTGCGGGGGGCGCCATGCGAACTACAGGGGAGGGCCAACACCGGGGACCCGTTACCTCAGAGGCGAAAAAGTTCCCCCCTAATGTGAACCACCTCCGAGTGAAACAGTATAAGTTTAATATCCCCTGGACAGCCGGCCCGAAAGATTCTCGGTGAAATGATCTTCCACAAGCAACTCCGAATGTTCATGATGCGGCGCACCCGACGCCGCCCCCGCCGTACCCCGACTCCGCTCCGACCCCCACTCCGATTACGCTTCGCTGCCTCTGGGGCGAGTATGTTTTGCGCGCGGGCGGGGAGGGGGCGGGGGACTGAGGCGGACAGGGAGGGGTGTCCCCCAGCTCCGCAGCGCCCCCTCGTGGCCTAACTCCGCGGCTCTCCCCTCTTGGCGGGCACCCGACTGGCGGCCCTCTCCGCTGCCCCGGGAGCCGGAGCGGGGCCTGCACCCGGAAGGAGCTGAGGGGTCCTTCCACCCTAACCAGTCTCGGCCCCGGGTCCACCCGTGCTGGGGGGCTGGGGAATTCGCCCTCCCGCCTAGAGGCTGCCCAAGGCGGAAGAGCGCGCGCCGGGGGCGGAGCTCCCCGAGCGGGTGGGGCGGGGCGGGAGGGGGCGGGCGGAGTGGCTCCGCAGAGGGGCCCGGCGGGAACCAACAGCCGCCGCGGCTGGAGCTCCGCTCGGGCGGGAGGTGGGGTCCTCCTTGTCCCCGAAGACCCCGCCAGTCCTCCGTTCCCTGGAGCCGCGGCCGCCTTCAGTGCGCGCAGCCCCTGGATATTAAGGTTCACGCGGGTGCCAGCCGGAGCCAGAAGAAGTGGCGACAGTCCCCACCCATCATCTCTCCCCGAGGCAGAGCCGGGGCCACCGAAGCCGAAGTTCGGTTGGAGAGCGATCGGGGCCCTGAGACGCCAGGACGGACGCCACGGGAGCGGGGCCGCTGGAGCCCAGTGGCTGCCGGCCCAAGGGAAGACGCACAGGAGTCATCGCGAGGAGCAAACTTTGGAGCTCTCAGCCTCGGGCCTCGGAGAGGTGAGAGATTCCGACTTTTCGGTCTCTTTCTTCCGCAAGGCTGGGACCCCGCCACCTTCCGCTCGCCGCGCCGCTGGACTCCGAACGGGGATGATACCCCGGCGACCCAGGTAGTGCGCCGCCTGCCCGTCACCCCGCTCCCCAACCTACCCCCACGCTTCTGTGCGGCGCCCGTATTCCCGGGAGCGCGGTCCGCGCCTTAGCTCCGCGTTTGCCTGTACTTTTTCTGTCTCCGTATCCGTTGTGATTCTGTGTCTTTCTCGCCTTCGGTGAATCCTTGTCTCCGTCTTCTGCGGAAACCCTGCATTTGCCTGGATGTCTGTTTGTGGGTCCGGGAAACCCTGGCTCAGTTTTCCTCTCTCCCCCAACCCCAGTCACACTAGAGGGCTGCCCCCCCCCCCCCAACTTTCTAGCTGGACTTGTAGGTTCTACAGACAGGCAGCAGGACTGCCATGGAGACCTTCTTCAATGAACCCTGACCACAGTCCGGGCCAGTGTTGCCTTCATCTCTCACGGGTTGGTCCTGTGCCCTTTTTCTCGCCAGCTGGGTTCCTTTCCATCTCATTAGGCCTGTCTCTCCCCGCGTGGTCTCCCACCAGGAACCCAGCAACGGGTAGCACCCGCTCTGACTGGGCCCATCTCAGCCTCTGAGGGGTGAAAGGGGAGATGGGCCCTGGAAGTAGGCAAGAACTGAGCATACGGGCTGGCTGCTGTCCCGACAGCGCCGCGCAGTGGTCAAAGCTCGGATGCTCGCGGCCTGAGACCCAACTGAGCTCCACAGTCTCGCTACTGTATATGACAGCCAGCAGGTTACTTTCCCTTCCCAGCCTCCGTTTCCTTCTTTGCTTAGTAATTAAAAGCAGGAAGCCTGGAGTCCCAATCCTGTACTTACCAGCTCTGCCATCTTAGATAAGTTTCCTAACTCTTTATGCCTCTGTTTCTTCTTCTGTAAAAATAAGATTAACAACACCTTGGTCATGACTAATATGTAAAAGTAACCAAATCATTCTGGGTTACGTTTGAAGAGGGTATTGTGAGCACTTTGAAGACTCCTGGGAAGAAACAAAAAGAAAAGGAGTCAAAGGTGGTGTATTCTCCCACCTGATCTCAAGCCCTGGTGCAGCCCTCTGACTCGGTGGGTTACCACTGCCACACCAGTCACTGTGCAGAATTAGGCCCCTTGCAGATAAGCACTGAGAAGAGAGTGGGAGGCAGTTTGCAGTATCTCAGCAGAGCCCATGTGAGGGTGGGTGAATTCTCACTTTCATCTAACAGCAGCCTCCAGTATATGGAATAATCTAGTGTAAATCTAACTTTTCAATTCCACAGGTAGGGCAACAGAGGCCCCAGGAGAGAAGGGACTCCCCGAGGCTCTCCAACAAGACAAACTAGGGTCGGGTGCAACTCTTATTACAGAATCTTCATGATAGAGCTCTCATCCTCCTGAGCCACAGGAGGGTAGAAGGCAGGGCTGGCTGCTCATATCCTGTGAGAGCAACTCCTCTGGGCTCCTCTTTAGGCCCTCGACAAAGGGGGTCCACCTAGTGTGCTGGGCTGCATAAATACTGTTCTTGGGGAAAAGAGAAGAGGTCCAGTCCTTAAGCCATGGACAGGAAATTGGGCAGGGACTAGTGGCCCTGGAATCAGAATTTCCTAGGTGATAGGGCTTTGTGGGGGTGTGGGGGCCCTTTGGAGAAAAATTCTTTCATGACTCCAGAACTCACATAACTAGGGTTGCTAGATTTAGCAAATTAATTTTATCTGGCAACCCTACACATACTCCCAGCACACTCAATCTCTCTCACTTCACAGACACTCTACACTGTCTACCACACAACTCCAACCCAGCTCAGTTCTGCTAGTGTCTAAGTAAATGGAGAGAAAAACAAGACTGGCACTATCCTATTTCATCTCACCTTCTAAATGTCTTCATTTCTAAAATGGCAAATATAAGTAACTACGTAGCTTCCTTCCTTGCCAGAGTTCTCCTGGTTCCCCAGGCTCCAGTCCCCTGCCCAGCTTCAGGAAAGACTGGCTGAGGCATTTGCTTCCCAGATATCCTGGTTCTAATGCTGCAGGCAGAGCTCTACAGAGCAGCTGCAGCTGCCGGCCCCTGCCTCTGCCTGGCCCTGCTCCTCAGGACTGCTGCTGGGACTCAGATTGCAGAAAGGGAACCCACGCCCTATCCCCCTTTGCAAAGTGGGAGTGGTGCATGATCTTAAGGAATCATCACCCAGACCCTTCAGACACACACGCGCGCGCGCGCGCACACACACACACACACACACACACACACACACACACACACGAGGCCCAGGAGATCACATGACTTTCCAGGCTTTTGAAGGCTCCCATTCCCCCAATTAGGTTGGACCCAGGTGTCTGAACTCCCAGCCCAGACCTGATCCGTTTACCCCAATGACTGCTTAGCCCCTGGCCAGGCTCCATTCTTGCCCGAGGAAAGGTTTTCTGGGAGCTTCTCATCCCTTCCAAGGTTCTGGGCCTCTTTGTTTTGAACAATGCACTGGGGGCTGGGAGAAGGGCCACCTGGGTTTGGAGATTCCTTTCTGCCCTTCTCCCATGGCTCCAGCCCTTCCTGCTTCTGCAACCCATGTGAGCTTGTCACTCCCTCCTGGGTGCTTTTCCAGAAGATTGGGGCCCAGCACCCATGCCTGCAGCCTCGGAGAAGCAGGGGTGACAAGGCTTGTGCCCAGCCTCTTTCTTTGTCTGCCTCACTATTTGGCCACCTCTCATGAGCAACCCAGAAACGACTGGGAGGAAGCATTAGCTGGGGGCGGGGGAGGGGGGTCCTTTTGGCAGTTTTCTACTGTAAAATGTTCTGATAACCTGGAGAGGTTGTTATGTGTTTATTGAGATGTGTTGCTATCAGCGGGTCTCTCCCCATATGGCTCCTCCCTCCCCTCCTTGTGGTCCATGTATGTAGACATGCTCTTAGAGCTGGGGGACAGGGGGACAGAGAGTCTTCCATGATTATGAGAATATAATTAAGTCAATCGTGAGACTGGCAAAGAGTGGCACTGAGCAAGCTAGAGGCGGGTGGCTGCATTGCCCTCGGCCTTTCCAGGGTTGAGTTCAGTGAGCGGGGAGATCCATCCCTCAGTGTGGCCCGGCTGCAAACCGTGGCCTTAGCTGGACCAGGGGACAGACAGGACGTCTGCACACTTCTCTCATTTTATTCACAAACCTGACCAGCCTGGGAGGAAGTGGCGGGACTTGCCGCAGCCACCCTCTTCCCGTCCTTCCACCGGGCTGCAGCTCTGGAACGAGATGGTGTTTGGGCGTAGTTGGTAACATCTTTCCACCCCAGATCTCTGCCTGCTCCAGGGTGATGGTGCCCTCAGCCTGGCTAGGAGGCAGGAGACTCGAGGTCTGCAGGGCTAACCTTAGGCGGCGGGCTCCCTACACACAGGAGCGGGACTCAGATCAGTGTTCTAGGAGAGGCCTGGCCCTCTGCAAGCACACCACTAACCGGGCCTCCATATGCGCCTGCACCGCTGAAGCCCACCTCCCCCACCCCCCTCCCCTCCCTCCAGGCGCCGCTCAGGGTCGGGCGCTTCTGCGGCACCCCCCACACGGGTGTCTCCTCCACTTCTAGAAGGAAACGTCTTCTTCCTTCCATTACGCCTGACCACAGTCCCCTCCCAGCCCCACCTACCCGGGACTACGTGGTGGGGGCTCGCTTGAGCACCCGATGGCCCGATGGCCCGTGCAGCGTTGAGACCAGGGCGAGCAGCGGGGCCTATCGACTTTCGTTCGTGGGAAGAGGGTTGCGAGCTCAGGAGACGGTGAAAACAGCGCGGCTCCCAAACCGCCCGACCTGGGGACCGGCTTCGCAGCGACCAGGGTAGGGCAGGCTCCACATGCTTGGGAGACCTGCGAGGAAGTAGGGGACGCTTCCAGGTGTATGGGAGCTAGCGCCCCTATGTCAAAGTGTGTCCCGGGCTTCCGGGTCAGCGGGTCTGTTTCCCTGTCCGCGTGTGAGTTGTTTGTTGGGTTGATGTGCCCCTCCGGGCAACAGTGGCTCTGGGTGCCCTACTACTTCCCAGAGCAACCAGCGCCCGTCCTGAGTCCTCCCCTCCGGGACGCACGATCTGTGCGGGGACTGCCCTGGAGGGCTTGCCTTTAACCCCAGGGCCTGCAGCGGCGTGGCCTGGTTAGGGGACTGCAAACCCACTCCGAGCCCGCAGCGAGACTCTGGCAGGGAAGGAGGGCCTGAGAGGGTGCGAGCCTGCATAGGTGTCTGGGACGCTGCGTACAGGGACTACGCTGTGGACAGCCCGGCCGACTGCCGCGGCGGCCTCCTTCCGACCAATTACATGATGCCTGCAGGAGCAGCCAACCTCGGGAACCTGACGCCCCTCCGGAGCCCTGAATTGGGGCAGGGCAGGAGGGAGAAGGGTACAGAGCTGTCCGAATTTGGCCCCCTTATTTCACACGCGCACGCGCGCACTTAGCCTTTCCGATCCCGAAGCAGAGGTGGAACCGGTAACGCTCCTCTGGCCGGGTGCCCGAGGCCTCTGGAGCGGACCCGAGCCGGCCGAGTCCCACTCCAGCGGAGCGAGGAACCGGCGGGAGTCCTGGCCTTGCAGACGCTGATTGCGGATTCCTGGGGAACAGCGCCCTCTGGAGGAGCCGCGCATCCACGCAGTCACAAACTGGACGCCGAGGTCCCCTTCCCCATCTCCTTTTGCAAAGTCATTCAGGGACTCATAACCTCCAGACCCTTTTTTTGCGCAGGCTTACTTCCTTTCCCAATCTGTACCTGTACCTCAGAACGCTGCTCACATCCCGCCTCTTCCAGAAGGGAGCCTTCTCCAGAGCCCAACTATCTTCCCCCTTTCCTGCTCTGAGTACCCCAGAGCCTAAAGCCTGAACCCTCAGTTCCAGCACTGCACAGCACAGCAGAACTGCTTCCAGCCTCGCCTTTCTCCAAAAAGACTGTTAATTCATCCATTCCACTCACCCTTTACGTGGGTGTGCTGTTGTTGTTCTCCTCCCCCTCCCAGTAAAATAAGACTGAAGTTTATCTCCACTCCACTCATACCTGATTTGCTCTCTCTCCCCTCTTCACCTTTGCACTCTGCTCACTCTTAATTCTTTGTCCATTTCAAATGTCAAGCTTTATGCACGACTTTCCCCCACAGCACCCCACACTGGCCAGGCTGAGAGGGCCTCCTGCCTCTGTGCTCCCCAAGACTTAACTCACTCAGTTGTCATGATTTGTTTTCCAGTCTGTCTCCCTCTGTCCACTGTAAGCTTCTTGAAAACAGACACTATATTGCTTTCATCTTCCCTCCTCCACAAAATCGGGATAAGAATTGTACCTACCACATTGAGTTGTTGTGAAGATTAAGTGAGATAATGCATATAAAGCACTTAGCCCAGCCCCTGATACTTCGAAAGAGCTCAATAAATATTTCTCATCATTATCATCATTTTTAATCACTCTACCTTCTGCAGGCACAAAACCTAACACATAGTAGATACTCAATGTTACATATGTGACTTGGTTAATGTTACCTATGTGACTAATTAATGTTAGATAATGTTAGATATATGAAGGAATGGTGCAACATATCTCTTCCTCAGGTCTGAGACTCACCAGAAAGCTAGCTTACATCGCCAATAGAAGTATGTGCTCTGAGAATAGACATTGCTTCTATTCTGAAGGGAGGAAAACCTATCTCCCTATCAGAGAGAGTTTTTCCATGGTCCCCGATTCCAGCAATCATTGAATATCTCTTTTGTGCTTCAGTTTCCTTCTTTGAAATGACAAACTTCCAGTTATAAACTAGGTAATGGGGATGTAATGTACAGCATAGGGAATAGCATCAATAACATTTGTAATAACTATACAGTGACAGATGGTTATTAGACTTGTTGTGACCACTCTATAATGTATACACTAGTAAATGTTGAATCACTGTATTGTACACCTGAAACTAGTAAAATACTATATTTCAATTATAATTTTAAAATAAAATAAAATTTTAAAAATAAAATGGTTGTGACCAATCATACCAGCCAAACGCTGCCAAAATCTTCCAGAGGCTCCCATGCTTACAATTTAAAACTCAATCTCCTTAATATGGTGAACTGAGCATGTATACAATTTTTGGGTGTCCCACTTCTCTGTTGGGTAAGACCTCCCCTCCCATATTCCATGTAGTCCTGATGTGACTGTCCAATCTCTGTCCCCCTCACACTTACCTCCAGGAGAGGACAGGCAGCCCAGCTGGATGGAACGTAGTATTGCAAGTCCAAGGCCCAGTGATTGGTCCAGGCAGGAGTAAGTGACCTAACTGAGCCAATCACTCCTTCTACAAGATGTGATATATGGACTCTGGGACTCTGGGACGGAGGGTTCTCCTTTCGAATCAGAAGATAAGCACATGAGCTTAGCTGCCAGCAGCCATCCTTCCTGCCATGTAGAGTGCTGTTTGACATTGAAGCCCATCCACTGAGGGAAACAACCCGAAAAGACAGAGTTTAATAAAAGTGTTGAGTCCCCCTGCTTTGCCTGAAACTAGACCCTTAGACTTTCCAGGCATTCTAAAGATATCCCCCTTTTTGCTTAAGCTGGATTGAATTGAATTTCTGCTGGTTTGAGTTGAATTTCGCAAACAGCAAAGCCACATGAGAGAAGGATCCTGGGTCCCTGTAACCCCTGAGGTGCTGTTTCACCCCGAACTGCCTGCATAGACTTTTATTCGAAAGGGAATTATACTTCAGTTTAATTTCATAGACTCGATTTCTGTGAGTCCCTGTAAGGAAAACATTCCAACTGGGCCATCCCTCAGATAAGCGATAGGCTACTTGGACGGTACCATCGCTGAAATGCGTGAGTAGGCAAGGTAGTCACTGGGTAGGAATCTTGGAGGCAGCAGAAAGAGTAAGAGATCTTAGAGCTGGGTTCAGATTATGCTCCCACCACTTATTAGTCTTAGGCAAATAATCTATCTAACCCTCAGCTTCCTTATTTGTAAAGTATTCAGATAGCTGAGTTGGAGACAGAGACCAAGGAAACCTCCTATCCGCCACCTCTCAGGGACTGCTGACACCTAGTACTCTAGTTGGAGCCTAGGTCAGGGTGCCTCAGTGAGGTTCCTCGCTCTCCTCTCCAACCTTAACATTTTTTAAGATTCCTGCTCCAACCTGCCAGGAAAATGCACCTCCCCTGGTTTGTTCATGCAACTAAAGACAGTGGTGGAGCCTGAGTTGAGAGGCCCGGGATCTACTTCCAGTCGTGCCCCTGCCTTCCTGTGCAGCCTCTGACAGCTCCTGCCCCTTCCAGAGTCCTCCGTTTCCTCATCTGACCTGTGCGAAGTACATCCCTTGTTCTGGACAGTCTGGCTCCCGAATCAGGGCTCTTAACTACTGTGCCCTACCCACAGTTCCAAGTGGGAGCGATTGCCATCCACAGCAATGATAATAATCATGCTCTGCACCGCCTTGCCCTGTCCAGGCTCCTGGTCATCCTAGCCTGGGTCAGCCCCAAAGGGCGCCACCTGCCACATGAACTGACATCACAGGTGCGGGCCAATCCAGAGCTTCCCAGGCTTCTGAGGATCTTGTTTGCAGCCATGGAGTTTGGCTCCCCCTTAGTCATGTGCATACCTCTCACAGGGGGCTCTGCGTGATGTTCCCTCCTCTACTTCCTTCCACAAAGCTGGAGCCACTCAGATCTGGGGGGTTAGAGGCAATGAAATGGGAAATCTGAGGCCAGAGAGGAGCAAATCTTAGAACATGATCCTATGATCAGAAGAAGGAAGTCACAGTTGGGGCCCATATGGGAAGGGTAAAAAGGGGGAGGTGGTAGCATTTGGCAGGAGGCCTGGAGGCCTGATGGTGGAGATCCAAAGATCTAGCTCCTTACACCTGCCACTGGTGCCCAGGCCTTGGAAGTAGAAGGGAAAAGGAGCCATCACCCCGGACAGGGCACAGACCCCACCTAGGATGGAGGTGGCAAGTGCCCAGGCTTCCCAGACCCAGAGGCCAAAACACCTGGGAGGAGCCCTGGTGAGATACTGATGGGAAGGCTACTTGGGAGGAGGGCAGTGAGGTTTGAAAAGGAGAAATTCTGAGCCCAGTCTCCAGGGTCCCTTTGAGAAATAAAAGAGGACAGCTGACAAAAGAGCCGGGATGAACACACAGGGAGCTTGGTGCCTGGCCAGGGCTGCGTGGAAATGCACTTTAGGAATTTTCCTGCAGATCTACCTGCACACAAAATGTATGCACAAGGTCTCATTGCAGCTGGTTTGGGAATGTCAAAATGTTGTAAACAATGTAAGTGTCTATCAGTAGGGGGCTGGTTAAATAATGGCACATCTATGTACGGGGATAGTATGCTGTGTAAAATAGAATAAAGAAGTTCTTTATGTGTTGATCTGGAAAGAGCTCCAAGACATATTGTGGAGTGAAAAAAAATCAAGATGTATAACATTGTAAACATTATGTTTTCAGGTGTGTGTGTGTGTGTGTGTGTGTGTGTGTGTGTGTGTGTGTATTTAAAGGAGAAAATAATGTATATTTGTTTTGGTTTATATATGCAAGAAAAATAGAAGCATGACTAAAAAATTAATTATCTGTTGGGGCAGGGGTAGTATCGGATGCACCTCTGAGTCATCAGCTGAGAAGAGGGACACAATCCAGGAGCTTGGAGAGAGTTGTGACTTGCTGTGGACACAGAAAAGAAAGGCCTTGCCTAAGTGTTTGACCAGGGACTTAGACCTCAGATTTCCTGACCCCCAGCCCAGCACACTTTCCTCTACTTCCTTTGTATAGAGTGGATCTCTGCACCTAGGACTACCCTCCCCACCCCTTTTCCCAACCCCCTACAGGGGAAGGTTACCAAAGGCTTCCAAGAAGAATGGGGGGGGGGGGGAGAATCTGGGAGGGCTTCCCAGTGGAGGTGGAAAATGCAGCAGTTTTCCTCTCACACACCAAACATCTGGGTTCCCACTGGAGCAAGTGCCTTTCAATCACCAGAAGCCACCCCTGGCCCCAAATACCATCCAAATGGATCCTGGCTTCATTCCACTGATTTCCTGATCAAATCAGGCGCATATAAGGTGGCCAATTGGTGGCGCTTTTGTCCCCACAAAATTGTTGAGGGGCAAGGAAGGGAGGACAAGAGTACAGGGAGAGGGGAGGGAGAGGGGAAGGATGTAAGAGGGAGGAAGAGGAAAACTGAAAGCAAAAGGAAACCAAAACCTGTCACTTGGCTTGGAAAGGTACCTTTCCAGATCCAGACGGTGGGTGTGAGTGGTTGGGGAATATTGGGATGGTCTGAGGAATTTTATTGGTACCTAGAGCTCTCCGTCCAAGTTTCTACCTCCTGGCCTCTTCCTCAGAGAAGGATGACTGGAGTCAGGCGGACCTGGATCAAGTTCTGAATCAGTCATTTTGCAGCTTGACCTGGTAAGTCACTTAGCCTTTATGAGCCCCAATTTCATTATCTATAACATTGAGTTAACATTTCTAATGCTACCCTGCAGTCCAGGATAAACTGTATTTGATCATGCCTTTTTGTAATGTACCACCAGAATCAATTTGCTGATATTGAATCTTCTTGTATATGTGAGACTGGCTAGATTTTGTTTGCTCAACCCTCTATCAGGTTTTGATAATGTAATTAAGTAGATAGAATTGGGGTGACTTTTATTTTTCTGGGTTCTGCAACTGATTGTTTTCCTACCTTTGGACATCTACTTTTCTCTATCACTACTGCTACCTCCACCAAACCAGCATCCTTTCCTGCTTCGATACTGCAGTAGCCTTTTAATTGGTCTCCCCACCCTACCCCAGATCCCCTCTAATAGCGTATTTGAAGCTGTGAAATTTCCTCTGAGCACATCCTATGGATTTTAATATGTACTGTTCTCACCTTTATTAATTTATAAATAGCCTATAATTTCAATTTTTCTCTAACTTAAGAGTTATTTTGATAAAAAGTGTTTTTTAAAATTTCAAGGGCTTAGTTTAAAATGTGGTCCAAGAATGTATTCTTATACACGTAGGAAATATGAACACGTTTAAACGTTGTGTATTCATTGCAATAAAAATCTTAAAACACATTCACATAAGCCCATTTTGGATCACTTAGATGACCTCCTAATATCATAAATATCAGAGATCAGATATTTGGAGTCCTCATTTGCATTTGTTATCAAGTAGTGCTACTTTAATCTTGAGATAAGGCTAAAAACAATGTGGAATGAAGGAACTGCTGTGTTTGGGCCAGTTGATGGCATGACTTGCAACCTGAAGGAATGTGGACAGTTCACTCAAAAGACAAAAAAAATGTTGGATGAATTTACTCCTCACATGGCTCCAGGCACACCAAACTCAAAAGACCTGAGATAGAGCAGTCAGGGTCACACTCAAGGTGCAAGTGATTTGGTTTCAGTAAAACAATATTTTATATTTTATTAATATTATGAATTTGAAAGTTTATTTTGTAGCTGTTTGCATTTAATTTATAAAGATTGTTTTATAGTTGCATAACAGATACAAATCTAAGGATTTTATATCTGCCCATACTAAATGCATTAAAATTTTTTAAAGTTAAAGTCAATACTTGAGGTCACCAGAATTTTTTTCTTTTAAAAGGAGACTACTTTAGCCCCTGTATCTTGCTAAATTGTCCTCCACCCCCACCTCATACTTCTAAGATCTCCCAAAGGGGTACTGCACATGGGCTTAGAACCGACCCACGCACTATGACGAAGAGTCCACATTGCTTGTTTTGCCTTCTGCCTTCCAGGTGAAGCCCATGGCCTGAAGGAGCCTCTCAGCTGTTATTCTTCCCGTGTCCCTGCCAAGATCACTTCCCTATGTACTCAGTTGTCCATGCGTAGGGTGGTCTTGGCCTTTCTCCAGCAGCCCCTCTAACCAGCTCAGCACCATCCTGGGCCAAAAATCATCCTTCCTGTGCTCCAAGTCCCCCCAAATCAGAAAGCAACCCCCTCAGCTCACTTACTCCTATGAAGAACTCAGAACCATCCCCCTGCCTTCATCCTCTAACCAAAACATGCATCCCTCATTTCCATAACACTGAGCCACCTTCTCACCTTCCTAGGAGTTAGTGCACACTGAACCCAGAAACAACTTCCCATTCTCCTCTTCCTCAGTCCCCACTCCCAAAGAATATAAGGCTACAAAAACACAGCTTTAACTCAACCATTTCATTGTCAAAGTGCACACTTAGCTTCTCACGCTAAAATAATCATCTTAATTTCAGATGTGCAAAATTTCCCCCCAAACTGACCTTGACTGAAACAAAGAGACCGGCAAAAAGGAAGATATGGAATTCAAGAAGCAGAGAATCCAACACAGGATAGAGATGGAGGGAATTCCAAGGAAAACAGTGAAGGGAAACAGGTCCACATCTGTGCAGCAGACATGGAGAGCCATCAGCCCAGGCTGGAGCTGGAGGACAGAGGGCCAGGGGAGAGGTGCCCCCAGGAACAGAAAACACAACAACCCAAAGCAATGATAGATTTCATGATAAGTTTGACCTCATGAAAATTAGGGGAGATTTAGCTATGGATACAAAGAAAGGTAAGTAAATGAAAAAAATAAAGCACTGAATGAATTCCAGGAAAAATGAAAAGTTGTACTCTCCCTCCAAAAGGAATTGTAGTCATGGTACACTAGCAGCTATCAGAGAACAATATTTATATAGTAATAATATGTGAATTATTATTTTAACCAAAAGTTGGTTATTTGGGTGGGAATGAGAAGGGATAGAGATTTCAGAGGTAAATGACAATCTATCATAACAGGAAGTTAATCATTACTGTTGTGAGAGAGTAGTACTAGTATAAGCATGGAAATACAGAAGTGTATTCAAAAAGAGACAGATAAGAATTGAAAGTAGATGGTTCTAGGATACAAAACAGGGTCCTGAAAATTGGGCTAGGCACCATTAAACCCTTGTCATTGCTATTTGGACTGTTAGATTATATGCTTGTTTCAATTCAATAAAAACAAGAATTAAGTGTTAAAAACCATGTCTTCAGATTAAAGATGACTTCCAGGTTTCTACAAAAATGAAGGGGTATCCCCTTAACGTTTCTGAAAGTTCCATTCAGATTATCCTCCCTCCTCCTCCTCCCCCCCAAAAAAAGGAGAGAGGGGAGAAAAATAAGACTTCCATATTGAAATCTTGCTTCTAGATTAAAAGTGTTTAGTGTTGCAATCCACTTGGGTCCCCTCCCTGCAGCAGGGAGCTTTTCTGTAATAAAACTTTATTTTCACTCAAAAAAGAAAAAAAGTGTTTAGTGCTTTGTAAAGACAGAATTGGAGTAGAGCTTTGTTTTGTGTTTTCAACATCTACCCAAGTGTCAAAATTCTTAGGGCATTCTATGACATATAGGTTTCCAGATAATGAACTTTGATGGCATCAACAGTCTCATATTTGTATCTGTATGGGCCCAGCACAGGGCTGGCACAGAGTGAGCCCTCTATGCTGTTGAATGGAAGAACATTAAAGAGGCATTTCAAAATAAAATCTTTCTTACTTTCCAGTTCAGTGACCTTTCTAGCATTTCCATGCAGACACTTCCCACCTCCTCATCACTGTGCCAAGATCCCAGGGACAGATACCTGCATGGCCATGGTGGCAAGAATGAAATTCAGAGCTCAAGAAGCACTTCCTGGCTTCAGCAGAGTGAGAAGGAACGTCTCCTTCCCTGGAAACTTCTTGGATTTGGAAGGAATTTATCAAGAGGAGCTTTGAGGCAGGAGGAGAGGCTGTAACACCATTTGGAGCAGAAAACGTTTGCATTTTGATCTTTGTGGAGCTATACTCCTTAGAGAACCAGGTTGAATCTTTGCTACCTGCTGGGTCCCAGGGAGGGGCAATTTTTTCATTGGACAAATGGGGAAGTAGCCTTCACCTTCACCTCTTTTGAAGGTCACTGTGAGGATTGCAAGTGAGAATGGAAAGTGCCAGAGTACTGTCAACCCAGTCATTATTCAGTAAGTCAGGCACAATTGACACTAGGGATTCATTCAGTGGGCCAGTCGTTCAACAAATACTAAGTGAAGAGATGCTATGCATCAGGCAAATGTGATCTGACTCTTGCTCAAAGGGGTTAATAGCTGGGGAGGGAGTCTAACCAGGGTGTTTCATACCAGACTGTGCAGAACTACTGTCCTATCTCTAAAGACTGTCTTCCCTACCTCATATTTCCTGCACCTTTCTCCTCCATGAGCTGCCCACTTTCCACCCTCACCCTGCATCACCACCCCAGAGGTTTAAACTCTTGTCTCTAAAAGAGGTGCATCAGGCTTGTGCAACATGCAAATCACATTCACCCTGGACTCAAGGCACACTGATCCCTTCCCACCTTTTCCCACACCTAATCTAGACCCTACTAATCTGGGATCCCTGGGGCAGAGGAGCTTGAGAAAGCCTGGTGCTTAGCATTTGGGTCAGCATGGAAGAGTAGGACAGGTTCAAAGGCCAACTCATGCAGCAACCTCTGAGTCTCTGCTCAGTGCTGCCCTGTCGTTGGTGCTGGGACAGTCCTGAATCAGTTCAGGTCCCTGTTGCTCCAGCTCACAATTTAGCAAAGGATATAGTAAGACAAGGGGCATAGCTGATGGCGCAGGGCCCAGCTCCAGAGGTGTGTCGGAGGGTGTGGTTCTGCAGCCTTGTCCCACTCTTGAAATAGGGAGCTTTTAAAACTGAGCCTCCAGCCTTGGCCCAGTGTCTTTTCTCCAGAATACTGTGCAGAATCTGATGACTCAGTGGGTCTGAAGTGGAGCCTGAGATTCTGCATTCCTAACAAGGTGATGCATTTCATCCCAGGAGCTGCGAAGGTCCGGGGACTGCACTTTGAGTCCAAGGCTATAGAACACTTATCTCATTTCTCTGAGAGTGATTGGTAATGTCTCTTCCCCAGTGGTCCCTAAGCACCATGACACAGGGATCTTGCCCATTTGTTTAGTGATGTAGTTATTCCCAAAGCCTAGGGCAGTACTTGGCACATTCAGTAAGTACATACTTGGAGTGGCCAATGCTCCCTCATCCATGGGAGCTGGGAGCAATCACAACAGCACATGAACCCATTGGCCAAATACATTCATGTGCACACCCATCTCATCTCTACCAGCCTCTGGGACGCAGCAGGTGATGACATTTACTAGCCTACTATGTGCACATCTATGGTTAATCACATCCTAACCCTACTGCATGAACTGCTGCCTGATGCTTCACCAGGGGCTCACCCTATATGAACAACCAAAGATCCTGAACAAATCCCACACACTCTCCCCAGACCACTCCCCCAAGTCACCAGCCAGCACACCAAGCCCAGAGAAAGCTTTCTTCTTTCTTTTTAATCAAATCAGTTTTAATTTAAAAAAATAATAATAACCTAATGAGCCAACCCTAAATCTTCCAGATGGTGGGCAGCCCACTAAGTCCCCTTTCCGTCCGGAGCCCGTGGTGCCGCTGGTCTGAGAAATCAAGAACTGTCCTGAGGCCTGGAACAGCGCGGCCAGGTGTGTGTAAGAAACTGAGGACAGACAGGGAAGTGGGGTTGGGGCTCAAACTTGTGGGAAATGAAGGGAAGAGAGCGAGGGAGTCATGAACCCGGGAGTCTGGCCTCTAATGTGTTGTAAGAACTCCAGGGGAGGTTGAAGAAGTAAGGAGTCCGTCAGGAAGGCGGCTTGAGATGAAAAGCCTGGCTTCCGAAGGCGTGGTCTTCACGGGAAACCTGGCGTGGGGGCTCATGGGTGGTGACTGGTCACAAAATACAAAAAGATCAACAAGGGCACCGGCACCGGTGGTAAGCGCACAGGTGGGGGCTCACGGGGGGCGGGGAGGAGAAGAAACGAGGGGCTCACATAGTGGGGTAGGGAGGGTTCAATCCGGTGGAGAGACTGGGATTCTCCCCATGGGAAGAGGTAACAGGTGTGCTCAATCCAAGAGGCAAAGTTGGAGAGCCCAGCGCCCCAGTCCTGGTCTCCAGGCGGCCCCTGCCTGCGGGGAAGAGCTCACAGGTAGCGCTCCAGGCCCGGCAAGTAGCCCGGCGGCCTCAGGTAGGCCTCCCCGGGGCCCAGCGGGCCGAGCGGGCCCAGCGCTCCCGGCGGCCCGGCCAAGGCCAGCAGCGGCTCGGCGGGGCGCGGGGGCAGCCCCGGGCGCTCGGGCGCGGGCGCGTAGAGCGGCGGGAAGGCGGCGGCGCAGGGCGGGAAGGCGGCGTCGGGCGCGGCGCAGCAGGGCGGCTCCGGGGCGCCCAGCCCCGCCAGCTCGGGCGGCAGGCTCCCCAGGCCGTCCACGCCGAAGAGGCGCGCGGGCGGCGCGGGCCCGGGGCCGGGCGGGAAGGGCGCGTAGGGGCCGGGCGGCGCGGGCGGCGGGGGCGCGGGCAGCTCCGCGCGCTTGAAGCGCTTGCGGCGCCGCAGGACCCCTTTCCGTTGTTCGAACATGTTGGGCGGCCGCCGGGTCCA